CCGCTCAGACCAGCGTGCCGGGGAGGAGGAGCAGGGGGAGGAGCTCCAGACTGCCGGTGTGAACTGCCGGCTGGTGATCTGCAAATACAGGGAGGAAGTGATCTCAGCTGCAGGGGAGAGGAGGAGGGGCTCTCTTTGGCTGTCGGAGCCCCATGTAAGTGGCACCATCCGGCCGGCTGCCCTGTCAGCAGCGCGCGCTCTGCTTGGGGGGGGAAGTCCGGACATTTACAGATTCCCACCGGACGCTATTTTTAACTCTAAAAGCCGGACATGTCCGGGGGAATCTGGACGAATGGTAACCCTAGTGTTTGGTCTCGCTCAATGAGACCTTAAAAATGAGAGGAAGAGTCAGAGCATGATAAATTCTGCCCTCATTTAAGGGACAGCAGAATTTGGCTCAGTAAAAAAATCGCTTGCTGCATCACAAGACGGCCCCAAAATATGTTGCTATTTTTCTTTTCAAACCCTTGAACACCTTCCTCCCTATTACCATAACATTTCCCAACACCTCACAGATACTGTCTATCAGTATTCCACGCTATAAGTGAATTTGCCTTTTCCATTATTCAGCCCAGACTAAGATCATTCCAGATAGTATGAACCCATCTGTGCATGAAGTACAGGAATGAGACAGTGTCATATTCTCGGTGGGTCTGCACTTCCATGAGAACTTTATTTTACTTCTCTAAATGTCTCTGTGAAGATTTTTTTCCTGGCCAGGAGACATTAACTGAGATCTGTAAGAACAGGGAACAAATCTGAGTGACTATGCTAATGAGGTGATGTATTCTTAATATGGAAGTGACTACATTAATAATTGTGTTAAGTCTCTGAGTGTGCCTGAATATCTGAACTAGATGTGTCCAGAAGTCTGAGCAGATGCAGAGTGAGCTGACTGACCAGACTGTTAATAAGGACTGTGGTTGCTCTCTAGCCAACTAGCCTCTTAAGAGCTTCCCCAGAAGTTCCTTCTTCAGAGCTGTGTTTACGCTGCTGTAGGTTGGCATCAACAGTTCAGGTTATTCGTCAGGAAATATGGATTACACACTCTGCTCCTTCTGCTACATTGTAAAAAGAGCAGACCACGGCCATCTCCTTTTTGGTGCAAAGGTCTGAATGCAGAACCACTTCTGTAGGCAGGGCCTGATTTAGGGGCAAGCGACCGAGGCGGCCACTTGGGATGCCAGGCTTGCGGGGGTGCCAGGCTCAGGATGCTGTTTTTGTTGTTAGCAACAAAAGGGAAAATAGAAGGTTTGAAGTAAAATGTTTCAGGTATTCCATATGTGGATTCATTTTTCACTAACCTCCTAGAATTCTCTGGACCTTTGTAGAATCTCATGGAACCTTCCAGACTTTCTGAGAACTACATTTTCCTCGAACCTCCTAGACTATTGTCAGCCATGCCCTTGTGGGTATGAAAGGGTGGGGCGTCGGTTCTGAGGGTAGAGATGAGGTGATGGGAAGCTTGGAAGAAAAATCCATCAAAGAAAGGTTCGGACAAATGAAGCACCACAAGAAGACCTAGAGGTTTTTGTATAACCTTAGTAAGCTGCAGACAGGAAAACACGCTTGAACAATTGTGCGGACCTCCACCAGATGCTGACACATAGGGAATGTTCGGACGTCAATGATAAAGACCTCTATGTCGATTACACATTTTCCCCCCCTACTGTTACTCACACCTTCTTAACAACTGTTGGAAATGGGTCATCCTGATTATCACTACAAAAGTTTTTTTCTCCTGCTGATAATAGTCCATCTTAACTGATTACTCTCATTATAGTTAGTATGGCAACATCCATTTTTTCATGTCCTCTGTGTGTATATATATCTTCCTACTGTATTTTCCACTGCATACATCCGATGAAGTGGGTTTTAGCCCACGAAAGCTTATGCTCAAATAAATTTGTTAGTCTCTAAGGTGCCACAAGTACTCCTCATTCTCTCCACTCCAAGTATTCCAGTTCATTCATGATGCAGAACTGAAAGACACTTTTCCTAATGTGTGGATAGCTTTGAGGATTTGCTCATACTGCTGGTCCCAGTCGCGAATGGTGAGTGCAGCTTTTTGAAGCTCAGGCTCATTAAACATATCTTTGATTGACGATGGCCGGCGAGAGACTCACATTGTTGCTATTTTATCTCTCGAAAATGCCACTGGCCAGTCTTTGGATCTCTCCGATGCTGTGCTTCAGTTTGCAAGGGCAAAAGCAAGAAAAGCAACCTTTTGAACTAAAGGACTAGGATTAACATTCTAAGACTGTCACCTACTGTAACACTATTTAATACTGGTCCACCCAATGTTAGTGCACAGTTCAATTTCTTGATGTTAGTATTTTTCAGTTATTCTTAACTAAAAAGTTTCTGTAAGTTTAGAGGAAACAATTTTTTTATTGCTTATGTATGCCATGAATAAATGCAGATTTACAGATTCTAGCATGCAAATTTATCATCTTATATGACAGCGATAAATCATGTATGTAAATCATGCATCAAAGTCATGAACTGGGCTACAAATGCAATAAAAAATAAGGTATTCAAAAATTTAACAAATGGAGGCGGGGCGCCATTTGTTCTAGGGCCGGCCCTGTCTACAGGCTCAGGTCTTGTCTCCTGATTTGTGACCCGATAGTAAATAGAACTTCCCAGATGCATACCACCTGCCCTAGAGTTACTGACATAGCTGTTAGCTTTGCTCCAGAAAATAAAACTTCCTTGTTAGCAGATGATGAATGATCCAGAAAGCTGGTTGGAATTTTTGGACTCTTTGTTTTTAAAGTACTCTAATTTTTCAAAAACGTTATAAATGCAAAATTTTTGGAAATACAGAAGGTTTAAACTGAATAGATGGACTATTCTCTGTAACTTGGAGTCTTTAAATCATGATTTGAGGACTTCAGTAACTCAGCCAGAGGTTAGGGGCCTGTTACAGGAGTGGGTGGGTGAGGTGCTATGGCCTGCAATATGAAGGAGGTCAGTCTAGATGATCACGATGGTCCCTTCTGGCCTTTAAGTCTGTGAGTCCTGAATGATACTTAACAGAAGTTCCAGTCTTCTTTAAAAATATTCCTTTTGTGACTATTTGGTTTTTGGGTAGGAAAGCTTTTTTTAGAGATAGTAGTGCTGGAAACAAGTCAAGAAATTAAATTAAATTTTTGAAAACAAATTCTGTGCCAATCCAAAAATATTTGTGCGGAATTACCTTTTATTTAATGTCCTTGCGAAAACCCTTCACGGTCTTAGAGCAAACTCATGATTGTCACTTAGAAAAACTTAAATTTTTTCCTTTTTGCTGTAAACATAGCTGTAAGTTTTGTATTTCCTTTTGACTAATTAATATTAAAATCTTATATTATGGTCCTGTCTACGCTGCCGCTGGAACTACATTAGCAAGAACCAGTTTTAAATTGGTTTCCCTAGTCTATAGTATTTGTAAAAATGGTTCAGGCCTTATCTGTGTTGGACAAAGAAATCACATTGGCACCTGCTAGCAGGAATCATCTTAAACAAGATTCACCCCTCAAGTCTACTTCTTATTCTGACATTAATCTGCACTGCTGGCCTTTACGCAGAGCTCACAGCAACGCTGAATCACACATTGCCAGCCCAATCTCCATTTTGTTTTCAGCCTCTGACCCAGAACTTACTGTGACGTTGCACTCCATATGCTTTATGAAAATATGCTTATGGGGGGAGGGATAGCTCAGTGGTTTGCGCATTGGCCTACTAAACCCAGGGTTGTGAGTTCAATCCTTGAAGGGGCCACTTAGGAATCTGGGGCAAAATCAGTACTTGGTCCTGCTAGTGAAGGCAGGGGGCTGGACTCAATGACCTTTCAAGGTCCCTTCTAGTTCTAGGAGATAGGATATCTCCGTTTAAAAAAAAAATGTGAATATGAAGTAACTGGAATATCTGTTTGCAAAAGGTCTCTTGTAAGGTATCATTACAAAGCTTATAACCTACCAAGTGTGTTCCTCCTGTTTGTTTGCATGTATTATTTCTATGTCTGGAGTCAGGAGAATAAGATATAAACTTGTATTACTAATGTAAACATATTAAGTGGAAGCCATTAAGGATGCTTCAGAATCAATGAACTGTAAATGGCTCAGTTTACTTGCAAACCTTCCTGTATACATGTGGGCCAGCCCAGGAAAAATGTGGGCTGGGGTCTCACAGGAAATGTGACCACGTCACCTGATAACGAAATCCATCTTAAATCTGGTACTTTTCCATTTAGAAGAAGGGGTGAGGACCCAGAGAGGCAAAAGATTCCCGCCTTGTGCCAAAGCTATAAAAGGGGGTGGAGCAGGACAAAGGGCTGCCAGTCATGAGAAAACCCCTAGTTACCACCTAAGATGTCTGCTGGAACTAACAAGGACTGTATAGGGGAAAGGATTGGGCCCAGACTAGGAAGGAGTCTAGTCTGTGAAAAGAAGCTTATTGGAACATCTCTGAGGGTGAAATATTACCTGTAATCAGTTTCTTAATGTATTAGACTTAGACTTGCATGGTTTTGCTTTATTTTGCTTGGTAACTTACTTTGTTCTGTCTGTTATTATTTGAAACCATTTAAATCCTACGTTTTATACTTAATAAAATCACTTTTGTTTATTAATTAACCCAGAGTAAGTGATTAATACCTGGGGGAGCAAACAGTTGTGTACATCTCTCTATCAGTGTTATAGAGGGCAGGCAATTTATGAGTTTATACAGAGTAAAATGGATTTATTGGGGGTTTGGATCCCATTGGGAGCTGGGTATCTGGGTGCTGAAGACAGGTAAACCTGCTGAGCTATTTTCGGTTTAGTCTGCAGCTTTGGGGGCATGGCCCAGACCCTGGGTCTGTGTTGCAGCAGGCTAGCATGTCTGGCTCAACAAGACAGGGTTCTGGAGTCCCAAGCTGGCAAGGAAAACAGGCTCAGAGGTAATTTCAGCACGTCAGGTGACAGTCCCAAGGGTGTCTCTGTGACCGAACCTGTAACACTTGCATCTTTTTGCAGCTCTTCTAAGCCCTCAGGGGCAACATCTTCAGGAACAACTTCTTTGCTGTCTTTGACCTGGGTCCTGATCTTACACAGGTGTGTATCAACAGTGACTCAATTGAAAATAGAATTATATGGTATAAACTTGCTGTAACCCGGATCAGGACTGTATCCTTTTGATATTAGTGGGAATTCCATGTGTGAAATGAAGGTAGAATTTAGTCTTTCCTGTTCAATGCCTTATGTAGTGGCAATTTTGTCTGATTTATGCAATTCCTACTCTCCTCCAGCCATTATTCTATGATGCCATACAGTAGCCCATGCAAAGTAATCTGTAATCTTTTTGAGACTACCCTGTCATCTCCACCTTAATTTTAAACATATGCTTAAATCCCATTGTAGTCAATGGGACTCAAACATGCCCAAAGTTAAACATGTGCTAAAGGTCATTGTTGAATAGGTGTGGACTGCTCAGTCGGTGCCTATAAGTGGAGCTGAAATGCAGTGAAGGGAAGTGAAAGTCCAAAACCACTATAAACATGTTCCATTGTAATCCTTTTTTGGTTTTTTTTTGGCTGGGGATTTAGAAAATGTAGAAGACAGTACTAAATATTTAATATTGAGTAGGAGATTCTTCGTTTAAACCGGAGATGACCCAGAAAGCAAGAGAAATTCACAGGCTGAGCTTTACACAGCATTAAAATACACTTTGTAAAGGCACTAATTTTTGTCAAGAGAAGCCTTTTCCATGCCCACCATCCCCTTCCCTATCATGTGTTTGGGAAGATCCGAGTACTTTTTCTGTGCTCGAGGAAAGAACATTGTGACAATACCTTGCAACCAAGAGACTGCTTTGGCCACCACTTTGAGATGCTCCTACCACCAGACAGTGTAGTCAACCTCAGTTTCAAGACTGGGCCTGTTTTGGTAGCAGTGTCATGTGTCGCAGGTCCCACAAGCTGGCTGAGCGAGAGCCTTACCGTCTGCGCCCTGCCATCGCCCTACAAGGCTAGACAAGGAAACTACAGCTGACGCCCTGCAAACAGAGGATGCACAGTGGGATCAGCTGACCAGCAGCAGGCAGCTAATTGGATACCTCATAGCATAAAGCTTCTTGTTCCTGCCACACCTCTTGTCTGAGCAACTAGTTGCTAGGCCTGCTGGTGGCCAGACCCCAGAGACCAAGTTCCTGCCTCCTCCCCTGGTTCCCGCTCCTTATTCCTGTTACAACCACTTGTTCCTGGTTTCTGCTTCCTTGCCCTGACTCCATTTACTGACCCCAGCTTGACCCTGGGCGTGATTTCTAGCTGTGACTCCAGCTGTGATCCTTGGTGTGGCTTCGAACCTTGACTCTATTCTAGGCCCTGACCACTAAGTCATACCACCCACAAACTGCTCTGCAGGCTTAAGTGGAATCTAAGTGGCATTTGAAAGCCTAACATGCACCCTGTTCACTGGGAGCAGAAGGCCAAGCAGAGGCCCATGCACCATCATGTAACACCTTTTTTGAGGACTTAAGTGGTGCATATATCTTATGTGGGGCTTTTTACAGAAGGGTGAATTTCATCCTATATGTGGCTTTTCGATTGGGAGTGGGCAGCTTTTTACACAAATATTCAATGTGAGTTGACTTTCTTTTGAGCTAAGGGCTTATCTAGATGTGCAGTTAGTGCGTGGCAAGCTGGAATGTAAATCTACAGTGCACTAGCATCCTATGCATTAAATGTCCATGTGGACCTTGCTTCCATGCACTACAATTTCCTAGTGTGCATTGGCCTACTCTACCACCGTTTCAAAGCGGAAACTAAGAAAAAGCATACATTGTAATAGACAATTCCCCCTAAGGGTATGTCTACACTACCCGCCCGATCGGCGGGCAGTGATCGATCCAGCGGGGGTCGATTTATCGCACCCCCGAGTGCTCTCCCATCGACTCCTGTACTCCACCGCCGCGAGAGGCACAGGCAGAGTCCACGGGGGAGCGGCAGCAGTCGACTCACCGCAGTGAAGACACTGCGATGAGTAGGTCTAAGTACGCTGACGTAACTTAGATCGATTCCCCCCCCCCCCCCAGTGTAGACCAGGCCTTTGAAAAGTATCACTTTTAATAGAATCTTTTCTCTTTTCTTGTGGATGGCGGGATGGGTATCTGATGTCTCAGAACTCAGCAAGCTTGGACTTTCTGCAGCATTTGGACTGGATAGGCGGGGCGTTTTGTTTTGTTTTATTTTATATGATGCAAATCGAACCCAAGCCAACTGTTGTTGAGGTTCAGGAAACTTTACAGTGAAGTGATAAATGTCAATTTGCAGATAGCCAAGATTTAAAAACGATAGAAGTGTTTAATCAGTTTAGATTGAAGTACCTAAGCCATTGAAGTGTCTTTATAGGAAATATTTACCTCCAGATAAGGGTAATGAAGCATTTCAGAGATGCTAGAGGATGTGTCATTAGCAACTTCAATAATAACCAAGGATTTTAATTTTCAGTTGCCACAGATCAATTGGAATATTCAAGCACTGAATGATGAAAAGGGAAGGGATTGTGTTAATGTTAACAGAGGATCCATTTTTATATTCCTGTGTGTTAAGGGACAACTGGTGAGGGTTACAGTTTAGAATCTCCACGCCTGTGAAGAATGTATTGTAAGGGAAGAAACTATAAAGGGTGCTGTCATTTGGGAATTTATTTGTATTGTCTTAGCGCCTAGGAGCCTCAGTCATGGACCAAGACCCCATTGTGCTAGGTGCTGTACAAACACAAAGCAAAACAGACAGTCCCTGCCCCAAATAACTTACAATCTAAGTAGTGATCTAAATAGGCTCATACTCTAATGTGGTTTCAAATTTCAGCTATTGGAAGTGATTTTTGGACACAAATAGAAGCAAATTAAATCAGTTAGGACTGAGTTCTAATCCTGATTCTGATAGTGTGTGACTGTGACCATTGCAATTTCTGAATCCAATTTTCCCATCTATAAACTGGTGGGTGGTGGTTGTGGGAGGCTTTTAATTATTAGCCCTGCCCACTCAGCCTAAGTGCTGAGACTAAGTTTAGGTTATTTCCCAACTGTCACCAGTAAATAAAAGTTTTGGAGGCCAATTTCTGCTGTTGGTTACACCTATGCAACTCCATTGTCTTCGGTCTTTTCCCTTTTGTGACACCTATGTATGATGTCTTAAAGGAGTTTCGTAGATTCATAGCATGAAATCCTGGCCCCATTGAAGTCAGTGGCAAAAATCATTGACTTCAACGGGGCCAAGATTCACCTATGCATTTTAAGGCCGGAAGGAACCATTATGATCATCTTTTCGGACCTCGTGCATAGCACAGGCGATATAATTTTACCCAGTAGCCTAAGTTCCAATCTGTAGCACAGGTGTAACTGATTGAAACTTACTAAATGACTTTGGTGATGATGCACAAGAAGGAATAGAATCCAGCTCCCTTTCTGAATTGTGTGGGCTCTGCAGGGATAACAGGAATAAAAAGTAGTAAAAACTTATTTTTATGTTCCATGTAAATAGATCTGACTCTGAATACACACAGAGCAGATCTGTTGAGTAGGAAGGTGCAATTTTTACATAATCACTTTCAAAATAGAACGTATCAAATTCCATATAGCCATCTAATTTTTGCTTAAATACATTAGTACCATTTGACTCCACTACATAAGTAGGATGTTCATTCCAGCTGTTCTCGTTAAAACAATACAATTTTAATTTCTGCTTACCTACAATGTCTCTTCACTTAAACCTGTGTTTCCTCTAATTCTGGTCTCCTCAATGTCCTCAGATCTTCAAGTTCAATTTTATAATCTTTTGAGAGTGTAATTACTTCAATCCCGTCCTCTCTGAAAACAAAGTATCCCCAATTTTTTTTTTACAATTTCGTCTCATCCGTAAATCCATCCTTTCAACTTATCAATTTATTTGGCCTATGCTTACTGTCTTCTGCTTTGATGGTCAGAAATGGGCACTGTATTTCAAATGCAATCTAATCAGTGCTATGTAAAATGACATGCTATCAATGATAGCACAATATCCTTGAATTTATATAATATACCCTTCTTTGTTGCTTTCTTTACTACTAAATACAGTCAATCAAAAATGTAATATTTGAGTCTACCAGTACACCCAGCACCTTTTCCTCTGTCACGTTAATTCATTTGATGTAATTTAAAAACTGTATTTACTTTGGGCATTATTAATACCTAAGGGCATCATTTTACATTACATTTCAAATTCCACCTCTGAGTCTGTTTGCCTAATCCATCCCTCTAAGTCTTAACTATTTTCTCTATTTTGATATTGTCTGCATATTGTATCTTTGTCTGAACTAGTAATAAAAATACAAGACCAGTTCCTGTTGATCAGTTGGCAATACCAGTTCCAGTACAGAACCCCTGGTGCTCTGCCTCACCAAATTCCACAAAGAATACATATCTTTAATTCCCATTCTGTTTTCTACCTACTAATCAGTCCCCAATTCATTTTAATAATGTATTACCTAACCCAGTGGCTCTCAATCTTTCCAGACTACTGTTCCCCTTTCAGGAGTCTGATTTGTCTTGTGTACTCCCAAGTTTCACCTCACTTAAAAACTACTTGCTTACAAAATCAGACATAAAATACAAAAATGTCACAGCACACTATTACTGAAAAATTGCTTCCTTTCTCATTTTTACCATATAGTTGTAAAATAAATCGATTGGAATATAAATATTGTACTTACATTTCAATGTATAGTATACAGAGCAGTATAAACAAGTCATTGTCGGTATTAAATTTTAGTTGTACTGACTTCACTAGTGCTTTTTATGTAGCCTGTTGTAAAATTAGGCAAATAACTAGATGAGTTGATGTACCCCCTAGAAGACCTCAGTGTGCCCCCAGAGGTATACGTCCCCCGGGTTCAGAACCACTCACCCAACCCATATTTTGTTGGTATACACATTAATACATTGTGTAAAACTTCTGAAAATGCAGACATTATGGAGAAGTGAAAATTCCTCCTATTATTCTGGTCAGTTACCTTCCTCTTGTAAACCTAATTTTATCACTTCTTGACCTCATCAGAATGAAACCAATCCATCTCAGAGTTCCAATGGCACATCTTTACCCTGGGAAAGAATGTTTCTAGAAAGCTTGGACCAAATCATACAAAGTTTCAGAGATACCAAGCTTTTTAAATTCTCCCAAAGCTTTTTTAGGCTAGAGATATTCCTGAGATAGATTAAACTGTATAAGGAATAGATACGGTTGTCTCAGAATTTGTTTTTCTAATGTGGTGCAATGGATTACTTGGATAATTTTAATTCAAGCATTTCCATACTTTGGAATGTTCTGTGTAGTTTATAAAGATGAACCTTAACTTGACATTTGCATGTTATCATGTATGGTTTTTGAGTTCTCTTAAGGGTATTTCTTGTGATTGAAAGAATCCATCATTTAATTTAATCTTTAACTTCCGGTTAGCAAAGTTTTTACTGGGAACATTAATACTTCCCATCTGTCTAGACCAGTGGTTCCCAAACTTGTTCCGCTGCTTGTGCAGGGAAAGCCCCTGGCGGGCCGGGCCGGTTTGTTTACCTGCCGCGTCCGCAGGTTTGACCGGTCGCGGCTCCCAATGGCCGCGGTTTGCTGCTCCAGGCCAAGGGGAGCTGCTGGAAGCGGCGGCCAGTACGTCCCTCAGCCTGCGCCACTTCCAGCAGCTCCCATTGGCCTGGAGCAGCGAACCGCGGCCATTGGGAGCCGCGACCGGTCGAACCTGCGGACGTGGCAGGTAAACAAACCGGCCTGGCCCGCCAGGGGCTTTCCCTGCACAAGCAGCGGAACAAGTTTGGGAACCACTGGTTTAGACTAATAGCTATATTTAGCATGATTGATCTTTCACAAATTCTTCTTTAATTTTAATCTTCTGATTTTAATTATATATTTTATTGCATTTTACACCCAATTCACCCTGCAGAGCCAACACGCTTAGAGAGAAGGAGCTGGATTCTAGTCCTTCCTGTGTATCATCAACAAAATTGATGACTGAATTCCAAATACAGTACACTCCCGTTATCTGAATTGCCTCGGAGACATCCAAACGTTCTGCATAACTGGGTGTTCGGCTAACCAGAAGCCCTATTAACTAACATAGGGCTACATGGGGGGACCACGGTGTAGATTCAGATAACTAGGATTTTTGGTAAAGGAAAGCTGGATAATTAGAATTATACTGTAGTTACAGTTGTTTTAACCCACTGAAGGCAATGGGGGTTTTACATATGTGGCTGAGGACAATGGGGGTCACTAAAGATTTGCATGCAGAATCTTTATTCCTGGTGACGAACTTCGCCAAAAGAAAAGAACCCAGCATGATGCTAAGAGCTCAATGTGAGTTTGCAGGGCTGGGAGTTAGAAAATATTCCTCCCCCGCCCCCCCCCTTTTTTTTGGCAAATTGAGCATATTTGATACAGAAATCATCGAAACTTGGGGCCTCATAATGCCATTTTAAAGTCACTTTCAGAGTAGAACCTCACTTTTAATTTTGTTCTAGAATAAAAGGGTGTGTCTCAGGGTTTTTAGGGGAGGAATAATCTGTTTGAAAATGTAAGGTGTATGTGTGTAGGTATGTGTATATATATGTGTATGTTTTTGTTTCTAGAGACTCCAACAATGTCCCATTTCAACAAAGCCGAGCAAGATGACTGGATGACTGTTTATCTGAAGTATCTCTTGTTTGTGTTTAATTTCTTCTTCTGGGTAAGTGTGACTTCTTGGTAATTCTACGGAATAAACTTGTTATAAAGACACCTTTTGTTTGCTCACTTGTCTAACTTGAAATTACTTATTTAGGATTAAATTTGTTATGTTCTGCATAGTGGAACTAGAAGAAGGCATGGAGCTGGCTAGGTAGGTGACCGACAGTTGTGTTCAGTGATGCTTTGTAGCCCCAAGGGATCATGATAAACTGGGTAGGGGAGGTAGTTAGGCAGCATGTGTTGCTGGTAACATCTGAGGCCCTGATTCAGCAGGTCATCTCTATTCAGCAAAGCATCCTTAACTTTAGGCAGGTGCTTAATCATTGACTACAGTGGGACTTAAACAAATGCTTAAAGTACTTTGCTGAATAGATACGGACTTAAGCGTATATTTAAATGTTTTGAGTTGATATCAGTGGGAGTTAGGCTCCTAATATGCTCAGGAACTTAAGAAAATCCCACTAATCCTAAGTGACTTTCCCACAGGTACTCAGTATTTTAGTGGCAAAGCTGCTCAGGGTACGTCTGCAGTGCTGTTAAACACCAGTGGCTATCCTGTGTCAGTTGACTCGGGCTCGCGGAGCTCGGGCTACGGGGCTGTTTAGTTGCCATGTAGATGCTTGGGCTGGAGCCCTGGCTCTGGGGGCCTCCCCGTCCCAAGGCCTGGGTTCCAGCCTGAGCCCAAATAGCTACACCACAGTTAAACAAACCCAAAGCGCAAGCCCGAGTCAGCTGACTCAGGCCAGCCGCAGTGTTTAATTGCAGTGTAGATCTACCCTCTGGGTCAGATTGTGAACCCCTTGTTCATATTGGTGAGCACTGACTCCTCACATAAATAATTACTCACCAGTGTGACCAAAAGGTTCACAGTCTGGCCCTAAGCAAATAAACCCCTCATCCGTTCACAGTCCTGTGTGTGCACTGAGTGAACAAAGCCTCTGAGTATGCCTTCTCTGCAATCAGAGGTATGGTAGCTTGCAGGAGTAGACATACCTTAGCTAGCTTTCATTTAGCTAGCTCAGGTCCTGAAGCAGTGAAACTGCGTCAGTGCGTGCTTCAGAGCAGGCTGTACAAGCCCACTTAGAACCCTGGATAGTCACTCACGGGGCTAGCCTGTACTGAAGCACACACTGCTGTGGGTTCATTGCTCTGGGACCCAAGCTGGCTAAATTAAAGCTAGCTCATGTATATCTACATGAGCTGCAATCCATAATTGCAGTATAGACATACCCTTAAAATCCCCTTATCAGGGTAGGGAGCTACTGTTGCTGCTTGGACTTTTATTTCTTCACTTACCCATAATGACAGTGGCTGAACAGGAGTGTGCGGTTTGGGGGTTTTTTCTTAAGCCCTATTCATAGGAGACTTTATACTTTTTATTTATGGTTGCAATAGATGAATTGCTCTTTGAGCTGTATTTATATTTTTGATGTGTTATTTTACGTAGGGTAAATTTGCCACATATATAGTTTGCCTTTTATTAAACAGTACCAAGGCCCACTTTGCATAATTGATATCTTTAGATTTTCTAAAAACTATTCCTAATTCTATTGGGCTGTGTTTAAAAGAGAACATTTGATTTCTTTGTGCTCTGTTCATCTCCATAAAAATGCCTTCTAACAGGTGGTTGAGAAGGGAAGGCGAGTGTGTAGAAAAGCATATAGTTCCTGATTCCACAGGACCTGAAAGTTATGGGGTTAAATGAAGGGCTTCCCTTGCTTCCTCACTATTTTCAGAATCACTTTTATCCACAGCTTACTTGGAGGCTTTTCATGCCGCTCACATATTGCCTCTGTTCACTCTATCCCTTAGTACATCATTATATTTAATCTTAACAGCTGTTCAAGCTTTCGAATCTTCTTTTGATCTACTTGACTCCAAATAGAACTTGGTGGTTCTTATATCAATTTCTTTCGAAAAAGATGTTAAAAAGCTGTGTGCGAAAACTAATGAATTGCAAATTATATCTGATAGTTTGAAGACTAGTGGGTGTGTTAATAAAGGACAATCCACTACACCACATGAAAGAAGGTTTTTGAAAATCATATTTAAGCTTTTAGTGTTACCAGGATAGTTTTGTTCAAGACTTAAATAGTTTGGATGTTCATGTTAAGTTCCTCTTGTTTCTGGAAACAATGTTGGAGAAGACTTTTGAGCCGTCATTGCAGATTACTAATCTTTTTCCCGATGCCTTCTAGATCCTTTCAGACTTCGCATTTTAATTCAGTTTTATGTTGTACTTAGAGAACAACTTTCATGCCACTAGTTGATGGGGAGAGAGTAAGGTGCTTCAAGCTGGGCAAGCCAAAATGAAGTCACTTCTAATGAAAAGCCACTTTTTAACATCTCTCCTGATGGTGCTCCATAGAATCACAAAAAAAGCAGCTACTGGTTTTAAAAATCTGAGCTTGCATACGTTTGTTTATGTCAGTGCTTCTTTCTGCATAACGTAGAGTGCATGCAAACGTCGGGTACAGATGGAAAGAAACTTCTGATTTTTTTACTGCAATGATGAGTAAACCTTTAAATGTCTCACCTGCTGAAATAGAAATACCTACTAATGAAAGTCTAGATGGGCTAGAAAATAATTCTACAATAGCTTCTATACCTCTGGATTTCAATAGTATACTAGGCTTTGCTTTACCATTTCAGGTATATTAACTAAGCACTGCTTTTTAGCCAGCATGGACAGCATTCTTCTCCTGTCACTTTTTTTTTTTTCTCTTCAGACTTTATTGGTATGGAGCATTCTGAATTGGCTGAAAATGTTTTGAGAGCTGTGTCTGAAGAATTTGTCAGTTTTGTTATATGTTTTATTTTTCTATCTTTGAAAATTTTCTCTTTGAAATTTGCCTGCTGGGTGACCTAGGGCAAGTCTCTTCACCTCTCCGTTCACCTCAGTGTCCCTATCTATAAAATGGAGATAATGATATGGACTAGGACTGTTGATTAATTGCAGTTAACTCACGCGATTAACTCAAAAATATTAATCATGATTAAAAATTAATCACACTGTTAAATAGAATACTAATTGAAATTTATTAAATATGTTTGAATGTTTTTCTACGTTTTTAAATATATTGATTTCAATTACAACACAGTATACAAAGTTGACAGTGCTCACTTTGTATTATTTTTTATTACAAATATTTGCATTCTGTAAAAATGATAAACAAAGGAAATAGTATTTTTCAATTCACCTCATACAAATACCATAATGGAATCTCTTAATCGTGTAAGTGCAACTTACAAATGTAGATTATTTTTTTTTGTTACATAACTGCACTCAAAAACAAAACAATATAAAAATCAGTCCTACTTCTTGTTCAGTCATTCACCAAGAGAAACAAGTTTGTTTACATTTACAGGAGATAATGCTGCCCACTTTTTACGTCCAATGTCCCCTGAAAGTGAGAACAGGCGTTCGCATGGCACTGTTGTAGCCGGCGTTGCAAGGTATTTACGTACCAGATATGCTAAACATTTGTATGCCCCTTCATGCTTCGGCCACCATTCCAGAGGACATGCTTTCATGCTGATGATGCTCATTAAAAAAATACATTAATTACATTTGTGGCTGAACTCCTTGGGGGAGAACTGTATATCTCCTACTGTGTTTTACATGCATTCTGCCATATATTTCATGTTATAGCAGACTTGGATGTTGACTCAGCACATGTTGTTCATTTTAAGAACACTTTCACTGCAGATTTGACAGAACACAAAGAAGGTACCAATGTGAGATTTCTAAAGATAGCTACAGCACTCGACCAAGGTTTAAGAATCTGAAGTGCCTTCCAAAATCTGAGAGGGACGAGGTGTGGAGCATGCTTTCAGAAGTCTTAAAAGAGCAACACTCCGATGCAGAAACTACAGAACCTGAACCACCAAAAAAGAAAATCAACCTTTCTGCTGGTGGCATCTGACTCAGATGATGAAACTGAACATGCGTCAGTCCATACTGCTTTGGATTGTTATAGAGCAGAACCCGTCATCAGCATGGACGCATGTCCTCTGGAATGGTGGTTGAAGCATGAAGGGACATATGAATCTTTAGTGCATCTGGCATATAAATATCTTGCAACACTGGCTACGACAGTGCCATGCAAATGCCTGTTCTCACTTTCAGGTGACATTGTAAACAAGAAACGGGCAGCATTATCTCCTGCAAATGTAAACAAACTTGTTTAGCTGAGCGAGTGGCTGAAGAAGAAGTAGGACTGAGTGGACTTGTAGGCTCTAAAGTTTTACATTGTTTTATTTTTGAATGCAGGTTTTTTTTGTACATAATTCTACACTTGTAAGTTCAACTTTCATGATAGAGATTACACTATAGTACTTGTATGAGATGAATAGAAAAATACTATTTATTTTGTTTTTTACAGTGCAAATATTTGTAATAAAAATAAATATAAAGTGAGCACTGTACACTTTGTATTCTATGTTGAAATTGAAATCAGTATACTTGAAAATGTGGAAAATATCCCAAACTGTTTAAATAAATGGTATTCTATTATTGTTTAACAGTGCGATGAATCGCGCGATTAATTGCAATTAATTTTTTTAATCACTTGACAGCCCTAATACGGACCTCTTTGATAAAGTGCTTTCAGATCTACTGATGCAAAGTGCTACATAAGATTTAGGTACTATTACTATTTATTACATTGTGTCAGTTTAATCACTGTGACCAGTTGGGCTACCCTTACTCCCCTTGATGAGTACTTACTGAGTTGAGTAAGCCCACCGAAGTCAGAGAGACTACTTGAGTGAATAAGTGTTCACCACAGTAAGTAAAATCTTGCCCCACAGGGTCTTAAAGGTCTGGTCGTGCCCACTTAATCTGCATGTGGGGGATACCTTATATGCACAGATCTCCCCCTTTTGCATGAAGAATGAGGAGAGGAGTCAGCCATTCTTTACAGGTCTGGAATTCCACATAGTGGGAGCAGGTGAACAGTGATCACCTTTCATGCTGAGGCAATGTTAAATCTAGGATGG